GTCTGAGTTCAGAGACATGTCTGAGTTCAGAGACATGTCTGAGTTCAGAGACATGTCTGAGTTCAGAGACATGTCTGAGTTCAGAGACATATATCTGAACTGAGACATGTCTCAGTTCAGAGACATGTGTCTGAACTGAGACATGTCCCAACAAACGCTGTCCTCTGACACTTCACCTGGTCAGGTGAGCTCACCTGTCTGATGGCGTGCTTATAGTGCTGCTGCATGGTTCTGGATGGTAACAGCCTGCAGCACCTCAGCAGGTATCGATACAGCTGCACTGGAGTCCGGACCAGCTCCACTGGAGGGAGAGGAGACATGTCCTCCTAAAGAAAAACAACCTGCTGGAGATAATAATGAGGGTCTTTATGAACACATGTGAACATGTGCTGCCTGCTGTAATATCTGAGCTCCATGACATCTGCTCAGTGTTCTACCACATCATACCTGTCAGTGATGGTTTGATGACCAGGTAAACAGTGGAGTCAGTCAGTGAACTACCTCTTCATGTTCTGCAGCAGCCTGATCACCATTCATTCATTCTAATGCTCTGTGTTGGAGACATGCAGAGCCCTGGTCTACTGCTGGATATGTTCATTTACACTGATCTCATGTTTTCCACCTACACATCACCTGATATTAAATAAATATACATGTGGACTGTTAAAACTTTATTAGTAATAAAACAGAGAAGGCAGCAGATCACAATAACTAATGCTTTTTGTAGCATTAAAACAAAAACACTGACATTAACCAGTTAATGTTTAACACAACTATGAAGTGCAGCCAAGAATATGAGTATAAAACGTTCTAGATTTTACCTGAGTGGTTACAGGTGTGCTTACAGGTTCACCAGCCATCCCCAGTAAAGCTGTTATTATTTATTATCATTCTATGATCTCAGGCAATAGATTTATATTGTGACATACTACAGTGTTTAATTAACACATTATTTTATAATAAAGTTATTCCACATCATTAACTTATTCCCATACTCAGGCCATGATCCAAACATGTGAGAATCATAAAAGTTCTGGACAAGTCATCTGCTCTATGTTCAGTTTAATCTGCTGGGATTATCACTGACTTCAGAATAAAACACTAAACTGTTGACTGTTTATTAAACTGTTGACTGTTTATTAAACTGCTGACTGTTTATTAAACTGCTGACTGTT